ACCCAGCATAAGGAGTGGGGAGGAATAAAGGAATGCATTGTGAAGTAAAAAAGTTGCTTAAAAACTATAAATTCGTTTGCAATTGTAGCACTCTTTCTTCTCCAAGATGAATAATTTGCAAGACTTCCAAATGAATTTCTTCAGTTTGTGAAGCAGAAATGCCAACAGTTCTACACAAATTACCAGAATGTTTCACAATTCTTCTCGAAATACCTGTCAGAAAAGTTCTTTTGAGGGAGCACATGGTGGCATTTTTTCTTGCCATCAACAAAACATATCTATCCATATGAAGAGTCTGAGGTGTTAAGGATGAAAACTTGCAGGAAAGCAGTAACATTTAAAAGAGAAAGAAAACCAACTGAAGATCCAGACTAAGTAGGTTACTATTTTGGTGTCCCTTGAAATCCAGCACCATCTTCACCATTCGCAGAACTTGGCCACTGGGAAGAGCCGCCTAGAAGTCAGCTTTGGGCTTCTGCCGTTGATCTGGTTGTTTGACCTTTGTAAAGTAGCAATCTCTTTGCACACTTTGTTGTTCTATATGTGGATCAAATAAAGACTGTGTAAACTCTAAAGCACCCAATAAATGTGAGCGATATGTACATCAAAAATAATCTCAGGGGAAAAAAGAAACCTCTGTCTATGGAAATCTTCACCGTGACCTCTAATTGCAAGTCACCTTTTATTTCAGTCATTTATGAAGGGCAATGGAGTGTAAAAATGATGAGTCTGATTCTTCGCTCTTTTTGTATTTGTCCCTACTGGTAGTAGGCAGAAAATGAGCCAGCACTAGACAGATAATTGTATCAACCCGGACTTTGCTTCAAGTACAGTTAAGCCCTGAATGCATGGGTTTGAACTGTAAGAGACTTTTTTCAGTAAATACATACAGTACTAAAAATGTATTTTCTCATCCTTATGGTTTTTATAGCAATTTTATTTTCTCTAATTTACTTTTTTGTAAGAATATGGCACATAATACATGTAACATGCAAACTGTGTGTTAATCAACTATTTATGTTATCAGTAAGGTGTTTGGTCAACAGTAAGCTACTAGTAGTTAAGTTTTGGGGGAGTAAGAGATACAGGTGGATTTTTTACTGTGTGGGAATGGGGGTCATGTCTGATCGTGCATTGTTCAAGGGTGGACTGTACAAGCAACTTTAGGTCTCAGGGAAAAGACTGGTCTCATCTAGGGACTTGGATCTGGTGGCTAAGTGTGGATTTTGTTGTCATCTGTGGTGGCCAAGGCCAGATATGGCCTTAAAATGAAAGGGAAGGTCACTCTTCAGAAGGATGGGGAGTATATTAAATAATACCTCTTCATTAATAGTAGTATTAAAAATAGATTTTAAAAATTCTGTTTGCCAAACTCTTTTGAAATTAATGTAGTCCTACAACTGCCCTCAAGGCAGGTATACTATTAATTCAAACTTCTATTAATTCAACCTTTGAGAGGTGAAAATAAGGCACAGAAATTAAGTAATTTTCCCAAGATCCCTGACTTATATAAGTGGCAGACCTGTGATTTGAACCCAGCTATTTGGACTCTTGACCAGAACCGTGTATCACAACAAGAAACAAATAATAGAAGAACGGCAAACTGAAATATTATAGAGTAGATCTGTTTGTGCAAAAAGAGAGGTTTTTCTAGAACACTGCTGGTGGAAAGGCAACTTGCTAAATAGTATTAAAGTGTGACTTTCTAATATTAAAAACAAGTTATAATAATAACAAAACAAAAAGCATAGGCACCCAAAGCAAACTTATAGATAAGCATTGGATATAAATATGTCCATATAATAATATATATTAAAATATTAACAGTGGTTACTTCTGGAGAGGGGAGTGAGGTGCTGGAGACAAAAATAGGGTATTCCATTTCATATCCTATAATTTATATTGAACCTGGATACTTTTTAAATATTATAATAAATAACCTGATTGGGGGGAAAAAGGAAAAGTAAAATGCCTAGATACCAGACATTTAATATGAAAATTGAAAGTTGGTTCTTGATCATTCCTGTATCCACTTGAGGCTATGGTGCAAACTACTTGTCTCAAATTTCTTTCCTAACTAAGTAGAAAGGGCAGCATATTTTTCCTCTTGAAATAGTGTAGGTAAGGCAACCTTTTCAGAATGCACGTATATTGTCAGGTTGGCCGAGCGGTCTAAGGCACTGCGTTCAGAATGCATGTATATTAATGGTCATGTACATATCCCCCTTAGTCCTATGTAATCTTTTAAAAATATTTTAATTATGAACTATTTCAAATATGCTAAAATCTAGAGGAAAACAAGTATTTGTTTTCAAAAAGAAGTTTATAAAATATTACAAACACAACTGATGCTTCCTGTAAATCTCCCCAATCCAATATTCATTTTTTGGTTTGTACCAGCAAAACTTTGTATTTTATTTTTTGTAAGAACACAGACATAATATATAGTATCATTTACATATTTTATACTTATATAAACAGCTATAAGAAAACATGCATTGTTTCACAACTTGCTTTTCTTATTATTTTTGAGATGTATCTAGGTTGACAGGTCTAAGTCTAGTTTGGTCATTTTAACTGTTGTACAGAATTCCATTATATGAATATACTCCCAGTGCTGAGTGATGGTTAGGACTCCTTTCTGCTGCATGCACAAGGCTGCCATGACCATGTTTGCATATGCGTCCTTACGCACATGCGTGCATACTTCTTTAAGGTAACATGGTAAGAGACTTCTCATTTTACCAGATGCTGCAAATTTGATGGTTGTACCTGTGTATTTTCCCACCAACTTAAATAGTTCCCACTGCTTCATTGTCCTTAAAAACATTATTTTTTGCTAACTTGATGGGTGTAATATGGTATCATGTGTTTTAAATTTCTATTTCCTTGATTATTAGTGAAGAGTATATTGTCCATGTTTACAGGCCTTTCAGATGTTTTCTTGTAAGAAGTACTTTTGTTTTTTCAGTGTGTTTATATTTCTAGTGGGTAGTTTCTTGGTTTTTATGAGTTTTTGGAATTTCTACATTTTTTATGAATTATCCCTTATATGTTAAAAACACTTTGTAGCTTATTTTTTTCACTTTTATAGTACTTAATGTAAATATAACTTTTAACTTTTCATATATTTAAATTTATCAGCTTTTATGACTATGCTTCTTTTGATTGAAATAATTTTTTTCCGTGCCGAGGACTAAAAATGTTGAATTTATTCATCTAGGTTTAATATTACTTTTAAAAGTTGTCTTTAATCCAACTCAAATACATTTGCTTATGATTTGAGATAGGAATACAAATTCTTTTTTCCTCCAAGTGTAAAATCAAATATATAAATACAATTTTTTTTTTTATCCTCACCTGAGGACTTTTTTTTGTCTTTTTGCACTTATCTTCAGATAGAGTGGGAGAGAGAAGGGGGTAAGAGAGAGAGAAACACTGATGTGAGAGAGACAAATCGAGTGGTTGCCACCCACACGACCCCAACAGGGGCCGGGGACAAACTGCAACCGAGGTACATGTCTTCAGCGGAAACTGAACCCAGGACTCTCTGGTCCATGGGCTGACACTCTAACCGCTGGGCCAAACCAGCCAGGGCTATAAACACAATTTTTCACAAAGTCACTCCTGTCCCTACTGGTTTATAATGACGTAACTTAAGTTTTCATATATGATGGTCTCTCCAAGTGTGATGAAAAGAAATAGCAGCATTTAACACTTAATTGTACTTGCCAGGTGCCGGGAACTATGCTAAGCATTTTACATGCTTTGAGCTTGCGTTTTAGAGTTATAATGCCTGGGCTTACATGTAGACTAGGAAACCCTAATAAGTGGTAGGGGTTACTTTACTTGTTTGTTTTACTGGCTAACAGAGAGGTGTTCATCTGGTGAAGTACATAATAGGCTGGTTGACACAAACTACATTAAAAAATAAGCACCCCAAATATATAACTTGCTTTTATTAAACAGAGGGAAAAAAATCAACACATTTTCCAAAGAGGCAGGTATCTCAGTAGCTTTAGTGAAAACCAACTTAACATCAGCTTGACAAAACTTTTAGAATAAGTGAACAATTAAATTCTTAAAGTAAGAATCAAATATTAACAGGCTCTAGACTCCAGAACACTTGTAAGCCAACAAACTAGGCACTGTTTCGCTTAACAGTTTTAGCTTTAATGTAAATATATATTATTATTTAGAATATTAGCATCTGAACTACATAATGACTTTTTATTTAAATCATTTTACTTTAATTACAACCAAGATTTCTGGAATCTCCAAGTAGTCTTTAAAGTTTTCCAATATGGACATAAACTAACCCCTATTCCTCTCTACATATTAAATGTGAAAAAATTGTCACAATATATCAACATTTTCACAGGAAGATTTTTAAGGCTTCTGGTACATAAAATGTATAATATCTGTGGGACAATAGTATCATAATTATATACAGAAAATATTTAAAATTTACCTTGTGTAATTTAAGTCCTAAAGATTAAAAAACCAAGTGTTTCATATTGGTAAAATATTAAAATATAATGTGCTTCCCTTAAATTTGACACTGATTGTATAATTATAAAAAGAACACAAAAGAATTGCACAGTAAATGATTCATCACCGAAATTAACTGTTGAACTAAATATACTTATTTGATATCATTAGTTTTCTAGGTTATACTTTCTGCACAAAACAGGCTTTAGTATAACTTGCAAGCATTTGTAATTAAACCGTGACATTGAGGCAGCCAATGTCAGATCTAGTTTTCCCTAGTTATTCCTGAATCATTCAAATATGTCTATGACTCTTAATTTATTCCTTTGTCTAAGTCACATTGCAGAGAATGTGTCAATAAGTGAAATAAAAAAATGACTATTTCTCATTTGAAAAAAATGAAAGTCATTAACACCTTGTCTTAAAGTTCTAACGTAGCATATTCAGCTCTTAAGGCAAAAAAGAAAAGAAAAAGATAAAAATATTATTATAAATTATAAATTCTGGTAATTCTCTTTTGGCATGAAAAGCCACAGCACAAAGTCTTACACTTTAATAGATAATATATTAGTGTACATCTGAATATACATTTGCCAACATTCTCCACTAGCGTGAAGTTGTTCTGGGAAGTGGAGGAGGTGAGGCGCTGTATGTCAGGGCAACATTCAATGGCCGTCCTGGGCATCAAGGGACACAGAATGACGAAGTCGTGACTTTCCATTCATAGATATTGTATTTGATGGAACAGTAACCTAAGAGAAAGAAACACACTTTGCACCCGTCAATTTAAAATGGGACAGCTGTCTAATTTTTCAACAATTACTACATTTAACTTCTGTTTAATTGTAAATGCTAGCATTTAGTATTTATTATGCAATAAATTACAAATAATCAGGAATAAATGTTCCCTCTACCATGAAATTAAAAATGAAAGAGTTGTTATTTCCACAACAAACAAGTTAAATAATCCATTAACACATCTTAGTCTTTACAAAATTGCCAAATCAACTCAAAGGACAAGAGCACAAACAGACTGCAGACCAAGCTGTTAAATAGCATTTTTAGCTAGATTAATTCTGGCTCCTCAAAAGTGCCTTGGATCCCGGCTGGCGTGGCTCAGTAAATTGAGTGTCATCCATGGACTGAGAGGTCCTGGTTTGACTCCCAGACAGGGTACATGCCTGGGTTGCAGGCTCATCCCCAGTGTGGGGCATGCTGGAGGCAGCCAACTGATGTTTCTCTTTCACACTAATGTTTCTATCTCTCTTCCTTCCTCTCTCTCTAAAAAAATCAATAAAAACATGCATATTTTTTTAAAGTGTCTTGAAAAATGTAGAAAAATACAGTGAATTCCACAAAACAATACATTTTACAATATTTGTTTTGATGGTATATATTAATTTGATGTTTCCCTCACAAGTAGCCATTGCTTATAAGGGAAAAAAGGAGCTTTGATTTTCTTATAAAGGGCTAAGAATGTCAAATGTATGACTTATACCAAAACAACTGCAGAATATAAAGGTTTTTTGTTTTGTTTTGTTTTCCCAGTAAATAAACTCATAAATTCTAAAATTGTATGGCAAAGTTTTCTATTTATAAAGTGTAAATGAATGAAGAACATTATAACAAAAATTTACTAAATAGTTTGTAATTTCAACATTTAGAAAAATGGAAAAAAAATCATCTGGATTTTAAATAGTAAATAGGTATAATATTTTTCACATCAAACATGACAGTATTTTAAGAAGCACAGTTTATTGGCTACGCATATGCATGTATGCGTAACCAATGGACATAGATAACAATGCTTTCCTGGTGGGGTTGGGGGAGCAGAATAGGGAAGAGGGTGTCTGGGGGGAAAAGGAGAAACATCTGTAATAAAAATAAATATATTAAGAAAATAAATAATAAAAAATATTTTACACCAAACAAAGTAAACTCACAATCCAATCAAAGATGACCAAACATTCAAAGTGGCAGAAAAATATGATCCATAATGAAGATAAACATGTTATATTAAAAAAAAAAAACACACACAGTTTATCTCTAGATTATAATTTGACTGGTTTAGATTCATAACCAAACATTGTCGTCTTTTCATGAGAAGAGACTTGAAGTACAAAAGGCCACTGATTCTGCCTAGCAACAAAATAAGTAGTGAAAGGTAAAATGAAATTGGCAAATTTGGTTTGAATTTGGTTTCCTTGTACTTCATTTGTTGCCTTTTACTAAGTGAAGATTGGTCATCTAAACTAGTCAGTTTTCTGGACTCTCTTATGAATCCAGGGTGGGGTAGAAAGGTTGCCATAATCCACCTGAAATAAAATGGCTAAGAAGAGAAGTTGCCACTAGGGGAAGAGAAACTCATCTGCACCCTGTTTAGTCCTCACATAGGGTTTCTTTGCAAGTATAGCCAACAAACCACACACAGGTAAGCTGTCATTACGTAACCTTGTTCCAAAAAGTCTCTGTGTGTAAAAGCTATCCTTGTAATTTTTGCCAAAATTGCAGTTCACATAATTCTTTATAAAGTGAGAGAGAAAATTTGTTTTAAGCATTTATAAAACATACTGATGGCTCCAAATGTCTACAAGTAAAAGATGTTCATTGTCACACTATTTTTAGTGAAAAACTAACCAATAAGGAGCAAGTAAGTTTATATACATTGGCAAATAGTATCTATTCTTAAAAGAATAGCATACACACACACACACACACACACACACACACACACGTATGTAATAAGATGGAGAGCTTCAGAGATGTGTTTATGAATGTTTTATAGAAGATTCTATTTTTATTACAAAAATCAAATATGTTTACATACTACAAAAATGGTCTGGAAGATCACACTGTAATCTATCTAGAGCAGTTACTTTGGGGAAGGAAACTGTATTTTGTTTGTTATTTAAAAATGTGTTTACTGAGCTGTCAGACATGAGAAGACATCATTAAAATTCTGTTCTATGGATTCTGTGGGTCAGAGACCTTTTCTGCCACTTTGTACTCATATTCGTTTCAGTACCTGGCACAGGGGACACTAATAAATCTTTCTTGAATGGAATATGGTAACTTTTACAAGCATGTATAAAGTAAAAAAATATTGTTTAATTTTTGAGCAATGAACATTTGACATTTATAAATAAAGATATTTTTTAAAAGAAACATTTAAAAATTTAATGATACGAGCATGGTCTAGTTGACTGTTTACCCTTGGAGTTTAAAAGACTTTCAGGAATATTCACATAGCTTTATTTCCATAAAGAGCATTAACTATGAAACTATCATTTACTTTTACTTTGAAAAATGTATGGAAAGAACTGCCCACCAGAAACCCCTGATAGTTGAAATTCAAACTAAGAAAATATGAAAATATGAAAAAAAAACACAATTAAATAAACAAAACAGGCCAGCAGGATTCTGGGTGACTTTCCCAGTTTTTTCTTCCCTCCAGATTTCTATCTAGCCAAAGATAAGTTTTACTTACATTCCGAGGAAAGACTTAATAACAAGTACTAAGTATCATTCATCAGTTTATTTTCAGACTTCATTTTTACAAACCTATATTCTACTTGTAACATGTAACAGCCTTCAGTAATTCAAGCACCATTAGGAACTGCAAGCTGCCAAAGAAACTCTTACGTCAACTCAACAATAAGGAATTACTTAATGTCTTATTCTCTGAAAACAATTTGCTGACTCATATATCAATCTTAGTATCAGACACATTTTATAAAATGCCAAGCTAGAATTATGAATGCTTCATCTGAAGACAAATTTCTGTGACTACATGGGGGCCGAATGAGAGTAAGGTATGGGAAAAAACCTTAAGAAACAAGGAAAAAACACAGCATGACTACGTTTACACGAGAGCAATCAACTAGATCATTGTTCTAATGGGAACCGACTATTATAATGAAGGTTAACTGCTCTGTAGGAACCAGAGCCATGAGGCAGGTTGGTACCTGGAGTTAAACTGAACATTTAGGTGCCAGAATAAAGGCGAGCCCTGAGCCAACTTTCTGATGAACAACTTAAACCTACTGTCAAAATCACTAGAGATTTTGTTTGGCAGTGTAACTGTTGTTCTATTTAAAAAATGTTAGGATTTCAAACAAACCAGGAGAAATGTTTCATACAGGACAGAAATGTAGGACTTAAGCAAATATCACAAGAAATTAGAGCCTTCTAGTGCCCGATTTTACCACCTTGGGCAACTTTTCGAAATATAATACTTTCACAGAAAAGTGCACTGAATTTAAACAGCCTAATGAAAAGAAACACAAACATGTACATAACCCACCGCCTCCCCGCTGACCTTGTCTTTGTTTAACTTTTTGACATTTTATTCATCATGGATTTTGCATTAATTTGGACATTTAAAAAATATTGCTTTAAGGTAATATTTACCTTGACGATTTAGTGTTTTTGGTTCCCTCTTAAATTGTGTGCCTGTCCTGCTCCGATAAGCCCCTAACAACCACTTGGCTTCCCCTCTGAAAGAAAACCACTATCTGGATTTTTATAATTACTTCCTTGCTTTGGAAAATAATTGCCATCTACCATGTATCACTAAACAACATAATTTAGTTTTGCCGTGCTGTCAAACTTTACACATGTTTCTTTTATATGTATCTATATTGTTGCAATTAGCTCTATTTTGTTCAATTTATTGCTATATGATAGTTTTGAATATTGCTATATGATGTTTTGAATATACTATTTATTCTACTATTTTTGGATATTTTGGTTATATTTCTTGGAAGCTTTACAAACAATATTGAATAGTCTATACATGAGTCTGGTGCACATGTTTCTGGTGTATATAACTACAAGTGATCGTGAAGCAGAAGCTGACCACGAAGTGTGGATACTATGAACTTTATTAGGCCCTGTGTCCATCCTTAGTAGAACACAATGAATTTTTAAAAGAATTTTCATTAAACACAATTTAGGAGCTGGCACTATGCAGACTCAGAGCTGTCCATAACCTCCTACTGAGACAGATAAAATTCAGACTCAAAAGAACCTGAGGTAATGAGTTATAAACAGCACACAATTATAGGATCATCCTTTTTGGGGCCTGTCTTCTGTGTTGATTCACATCCAGCTCATTCTGGAAGCAATGCAAGTTTTATCTGTGAAGAGGCTGCCAAATCAGGGCCCGAAAAACACCAAGCATACAGCTGCTTGCCTGTACAATTCTGTCGGCCTAAGAGGCATTTCCAACTCAATGCACTGTTTTCTACAGTTAGTTCATTGAAATGGATTAATACATCCACGGGCTTAGTAGGAAGACACTGCAACTATTTCCTGTGTAGTTACTTGGTTCTTCTGTGGGCCTGATGCGTCACTGTTTCTCAGTCCCAGGCAGTGAACCCCTGAAGGCAGAGGCTTCATTTTACTCATTCTTGTCTCCTTAATATCTAGTACAATGTTTGATACTCATGTGCTTAAAAAATGCTTGTGAGATTTATTGAAGTGAGAAAGCTTTAGATTGGAAGTGATATATTTGACATACATCCTTAACTTACAAGATAAAAAAATTTTTTTTCATAAATGAGAATGTTTGATTTAACAGGAGCATATTTCTCCACAAAAATATAAATGTCACCCGGCTGGTGTGGTTAAGTGGACTGAGCATGTCACATGCACCAGGAGGTCACCGGTTCCATTCCCAGTCAGGGCACATGCCCAGGTTGTGGGCTCGATCCCCAGTAGGGGGCATGCAGGAGGCAGCCAATCGATGTTTCTCTCTCACATTGATGTTTCTCTCTCTCTCTATTTGTATACACACACACACACACACACACACACATATACATATATATAGAGAGAGTAAATATCATAGCCTGTGAAGTATCAATTTTAATATGCAAAGTTCTACCAAATTTTTTGCTGCCTGGCACCAAACTTCAGGCTACAAATACTCTATAAAAACTTTAATCTCAAGTCCCTAAAGTATCCCTTCACATATCCTCCACTCGTGACACACACACAGCATTTTGCCTTGTCTCCCTGTGCCCAGCCGGGAGCGCCAAGCCCGGGTCAGAGCGGCTGTCACTCCGCATGAGACTGCCGGAGGAGCAGGCCAGCCACGGACAGCGCCCGGGATCCTGCCCTTCTTCCCATGGTCGCAGCATTCCTGTCGCTTCACAGATTTCATTTCTGTTGAGCTCAGTGTTTTACTGAACAAGTCTCTTACTCTTCTCTAAATAGCTTCTAAAATGATTACAGAAGGAATTCACAAAATGAAATGCCTAGGGAGTCAGTGGGACAATGAGCATTTTACTTGTTTTGGGTGTTGAGGAACTTGCCACCAAGAGGACCGAGGGGAGAACCAGAAAGACATTTGGGGAGACAACGGGCCCTGGGACGTCCGCGTGATGCCAGGCTTCAGGCTCCTCCATGCCCCCTTTCAGCGGATGAGGGCGGCAGCGGGAGGACATCACCTACAATACTTCCCTGTGACAGCTGTTTGGTGTCTGCTCCTGAAGCTCCCCACACCTCGGGGCAGAGGCGCTAAAGGACTCTAGTTGGGCATTATTAGAACTTGGATTTCTACAACTGGTCTTATCTCAGTTCTCCAGGTTTTCTCTACATCTTTTGGTTTGCCCTCCCCCTCTCCACCCCCACCTAATCCCATATGTGGTAGTAACCTGATTACCTTAGTAACCATGACAGAAAACGTGCAGGTTACCATCATTAGTGCAGCTTCTCTGGAACAGGGAGGGATTTTCTTTCCAAAAGAATCTTTCTTGTTGGGCTTTCTATAGTCCAGGTACTTTCTATATATAGGTATTCAATGAGCATAAGACATGTTCTGCACCTGGCCCATGTGTGGAAACAGACCTGAGATGTTTTTAAATATGTGTAAGATTCTGGACTCTCTGATACTTAAAAAATGACCCCTGACATAAAGGAGTAACTTCTGAATCTTCCCTATTTAAGTTTAAATGCCACAAAACAATTTCCCCTAAGTATTAGTTTGACGATGTTGAAAATAAACCCACTGTCGCCCATCTGATACAGAAAACTTACCCTTTTCAATTTGGCAGCAGCCTCTCCGGAACGAATTGCAGTCAGTAAACTCTGCCGGATCTCTTCTGGGTCAGAGCTTTGGAATGTTAAAGAACTTTGCCTCTTTAGGGAGAATGCTGGGCATTCGGTTGGAGATGGTATTTGGGAATTCTGCTCATTATGTGCAGAGTTATTTTCCTAAAACAATAAATGCAAAATATTTATATGAATACCAACTGAAGAATGGGCTATTTTTCAATATTTTCCTTCATCAGTAGTTCTTTAAGAATCACCATTTGCCCAGCCAGTGTGGTTCAGTGGATTGAACGTCACCCCATGCACCAAGAGGTCACTGGTTCGATTTCTGGTCAGGGCACATGCCCATGTTGTGGGCTCAATCAACAGTGGGGGTCGTGCAGGAGGCAGCCAATCAATGTTCTCTTTCACATTGATGTTTCTATCTTTCTCTCCCTTCCTCTCTATCTAAATATGAATAAAAAATGTTTAAAAAAGAAAAAGAATCACCATTTGTGCATTAGTTTTCTAGACATAGCTTTATTTCCTCACCCACTGAACTATCTTGGTTGCCAGAGCTCAGTTGGAAAGAGGGTGTTAATTTCCCTTCTCTTGAATTGGAAGGATGCTAAAGAAGGAAAGTGGTACCTCTCTGTTTCATGAACACAAGGGTAATTTTACTGTCCTTGAGACAAATAAGTCTGATTTCTCCAATGGAGTTGGTTAAGAGAGCCAAATGAATTAAGAAAAAGATTCCGCAGACTAAAAAATAACCCATTTTTACAGTTCCAACATTATTATGTTGTGAAGTTGTTATTTTTGATGGTACAAAATAGACAAATATTGGTTGAACCTAACCACATATCATCTAATGAAACATTAATGATTATGCTACATGTAACCATTTGTGTTTCTGGAGGTCACAGGGACTAAGTGATGACAATGTTTTCTTTATTTTTCCCCATGAAAGCTAAAACAAAATATTAGGAATTTCCAATGTAACAATTAAACATTTAATTAAACTTCTTAGGAATGAATATTTAGTAACAAATTTAACTGGCAGCTTTCATCAAAATATTTTAAATATGTCTCTTTCAAACTGCCAGATAAATAGCTTTACAAATGATGAGCTAAACAGAGCTCAGACAGTGGCTCGAAGACTGTGTTATCTAAATCAAGCTTCTGTGGGTTAGGAAAGGTATCCCATTCTAAGGAAAAAACACAGGCTTTGTTCCCAAGTGAAGAATTAATCTCATATCATATATCTCTTCCTGACATTATGTCAAAGTAATAAACATGAATGTGAAACACATGAAGAAATATTCTTCAAGATAAATATTGCGTTTACATTATGGAAAAATCTTGACTTGGCAATATGGTTAATGTCTGTTAGCCTTGGAATGTTTGAAAAAGTTGTATAAATACATCTGGAGCTGTCGCACGGATATGGAAGTATTCTTTAAACACTATCAGAGTAAAAGTACACAAAGTATTTTTTAAAGATTGCTTGGGGATTAGCATAATTCATCCTGCAAGTTTCATCCTCGCCTTTGACTATCTGAACCTGGCAAATTGTAAATTGAGCCAATGCGAAGTCAACAAATACCTGCTTTTTTGTAAATTATTAAGGTTATAGAGAGATTGAATGATATTTTGGTCAACATATGGATAAGTGGGAAAGCTGACACAATTAACAAAGTGAGAAATTAAGAAAATTACATATTTAAACTCTGGTTTTAATTTATTTATATGTAAAAATGTTTGATAAGCTGAGGTTAAGTGTATATGACAGAAAATGCATAGCTGAGAGACACAGCCATTTTATCTAGGCTTTGATACTGTTTATATTTCTATATAATTAAAATTATTTTGCAATTATGTAGAATTGGAGAAAAACAAATAAACCAGAACATCCAGAAAGTCACAAATTGAGATAAGCAAAACAGGAAAATATAGTCAGAATTATATGCTACACAAACGTATGAGCAAAGAAACGAAATCATTTGCTGATGAGATAATTATACGGTGGCTTTATAGTAATGCCCAATCAGATTATATGGATTATAATAACTCTGAGAGTAAACTATCAGATTCTATGTATGATACAGTCGTTTTTCCAAAACCGCGATAGAGTGAAACCGCGCAAGTCCAAGCGCGAAGTGGGGCGGGATGAGTGTAAATAAAGAAAGAATCCAACTTTGCGGAAACTCATTTATCGCGGTAGAGTCTGGTACCGAGGAACCGCGATAAAGGAGGGCCGACTGTACTCTTTCTACAGTGGGCAGTTCGATGTTAGATCACTGGAGGGAATTCAGACAAATAATACACAAGCATAGGGACATGTCTGTTAATCTCCACTTAAACCATGCTGTGTAAGAACCCCTTATTTTTAAAAAGGTAACATTTACCTTATTACTCACCCCTAGGTGTGGGTTGCCCTCAAGTTTATTTGCAGAAGGAGCCCTCCCTTCCTCTGTGCCACCCGGAGATCGCGGAGATGCACCCTCAGGGCACGACTCGGTGCGCACTTTGCTGAACGACTGGGACCGCTTCACTACAGCCAGGGCAAAGGGCGAAGGCGCGGAGCTCGAGTAGGGTCGTGGGGCACCAAAGGTTTTCAGAGTCCTCAGGTTGAGTGCTGCTGACCGACTGGTGGGAAGAGAAACAGGTTTCGGAGCTACGGGAGGCGGAGAGGTTTCCGGAGGCCTCGGACTGCGGACATCCTCCCTGTCTTTAACTTGGGGCTGCGCTGGAGAGGGAGTCGTTTCACTTGGGGGAGGAAGTGCTTGCTCTGGAGGAGGTATCACGTCCCTTTCCACCTCTTTCTTGACCAGCTCCTTCGGAGTGGCATTAGGGGTAGTGTGGACACTCTTGGCGGCTGCGGACGTCACATAGTGACCTGAAACTCTTTTTTGCATTTGCAAGAAAAAAGAACTTGGTTTGGTCTGGGAATTTGAAACTCGAGATTTAAGTTTTGACTCCAAAATATTGTTTATATCTTCCAAATTTGGCACAAAAGGAGCTGTGCCAGTGTCCCTCATCACTCTGGGGGTGGGTTTCAGAGGATCTGCCGTGGTGCCGTGGGGCGCACTCTCCACACGGGGTGCCCGATGCTCCGGTGTCAGGGTAGGCTTGGGTTTAAGATTTATCTGGGGCTCCTTCTGACTTTCAGAAATAACAAAATCTTCTGTTTGGATTGCCGTCTCTTTCACATTCTCATGAATGTGCTTTTTCCCTAAAGTATGTATATCCTGATCATCTTCATACCCTAAGGTTTCTGATTCCCAATCTTTTAAAAGTTCCAGGGATTTGGGAGGCACTATTTTATAAGTAGTCATCCCAATTTTGGGTATATATTCTCTTGTAATTTCATTTGAAGGTTTGGGCTTGGGATTGTAGTCTTGTCTGTAAAGTGGATAATTCTTCATATAAGAAGCAGTTGAATTTTTACTAATCCCATCTACAGGAGGCAAAAGAGCATCATTACCATGTGTATAAATTGGATCTTTTATGGTGAGCTGACCTTCTGAATGTGCAGTTAGGGGGCCCTGGAATTCTCTGGAGGTATCTATGGAATTTTGTGGACTTAAAGATGAATGTTGAGTCAATATGTTGTTACTTGCAGTTTGCACACATTCATCAACTTTGGAGTCAGACAAATGACGTCGGTGATCCCCATCAAAACGATCACAGGAAGCAGTTGTCTGAATTGCCGCATCTTGCATTTTTGTCTTTTCTGCAATGGCTTGATTCGGTTTTTGGCCTGGCACTGGTAAAGCAGCTAGATGATTTTCCTTGTCACTTCCAGCAGTTTCAGTTTTATGTGCCTGAAGTCTGTCAACTTCCACGTCCGCATTATTTTTGGCAACACCTCCTACATTGATTTCTGTTCTCCCCACTCCATTTTTCATATTATCTTCCGTTTTCCTTGAAATGACAATTATTTCATTTTGATCTACTGAGAAAGAAAAAAAAATAGTCATCAAGTGAAGTATATGAATAAAAAAGTAGAAAAACCTTAGTTTGCAGTGCTTGCCTCCCCCACAGTGAAATAGGTTGGTTTGACTTCTACAGAAAATTTTTCAGCTCACTAATGATACGAAACCTGGTCATGGCATTTAGAGAAAACAGCATAGGCTTTGGTATTATGGAGACCTGAGTCTGGACTTTACTAATTATAATCTCTGTGACCACAACTTATTATTTAACCCTTTGAGCCTCAGTTTGCTCAGATGTAAAAAGGTGAAAATATGTATTACAGTTGACCCTTGAAGGATGTGGTGGGTAAGGGTACTGACCTCTACACAACTGAAAATCCAGATATAACTTTTGACTCCCCCAAAACTTTACTAATAGCCTACTGCTGACTAGAAGCCTAACCAGTAACATAAACAGCCTGTGGACCAAAGGGTTGCAGGTTTGATTCCCAGTCAAGGACATGTGCCTGGGTTGCAGGTTCAATCCCTGGCCCCAGTTGGGGTCATGCGGGAAGCAACAGATCAATGTGTGCTTTCTCAGCGATGTTTCTCTCTCTCTCCCCCTCCCTCCTTCCACTCTATCTAAAAAAGTGAATGGACAAATATCCTTGGGTGAGGATTAACAACAACAAAAAGAGTTAAAATAAAAACAGAATCTAAGTTGACTGTCTTGTTAATTAAGTGTCCTCACTAAAGAGGACTGTGTCCTTAGTCATAATACTGCTGATTTCAATTAAATAAAAACAATCAGTGGTGTTTTTTTTTTTTTTTTCTCTTTGGGAAAAGATATTCTATTCTTCTCATGTCAGAATTCAAGTAGAGAAAACAACCTCCCTCTCCCCAGTGCTACTTTTCCTCTTAATTCTAATTCAGACTTCCTGAAAACAAAAATCATTGTTTTAACCTGGTGTCCAGGTTAACAAAGACACAGTTGCCAGCCAAAACCATGATGGCAAAGAATTGGAAGGAGGCTTCTGAAAGGAAACATGGCTTATGAGTTTGCACCATGTGTCTAGTACTGAACAAGTGATTGATTTGTATTCTGTGCTTCTCTAGTCAAATGCCCAGAAGAATCGTTTCTCATGAATGACCAACTAGCCCTTATCTTCAAAATCCTCAGAGACCTCCTCTTTTTTTTTTTTTTAATCCTCATCTGAGGACATTTTTCCATTTTTTGTACAGACAGAGTGGGAGGGAGAGAGAGGAACAAAGAGAGAGAAACATCGATGTGAAAGGGACACATCGAGTGGCTGCCACCCGCATGACCAACCAGGGCCGGGGACAAACTGCAACCGAGGTACGTGCCCTTAGCGGGAACCGAACCCGGGTCTCTCTGGACCGCAGGTGGACGCTCTAACCGCTGAGCCAAACCGGCCAGGGCGAGAGACCTCCTCTTTCAACATGTACAAGTGAAATGTGGGCCTTGGGAGCCAAACTGTGAAAGGATGTCAAGTATTTCTCTATAGTTTTATCATCACTTTCATGTATAAGGTAAACATCAATTTCACTGCCTAAAATGTTGTGATATATTTAAAGTAGTTCCTCTGTTTAAAAAAAAAAAAAAGACAAGTAAAAAAGAAATATATGTATGCAAAAAGATCACACTGCCAGGTAAATATGTATGCAAACAATTTTTTAAAATATCTTCATATTTTTGAAGACTGCCTAATTGTAAAATTTATTGGTCATAGTAGTTTTATATTATGTTGTAAGGTTCCTATACTAAATATACAATTTCCATTTTTATTCTCCCCAAATAAAATGCAACTGATTATAAGAATATGTATTATCTATATGAGTGACTTTTCTCAGTGACAAATAACCATTAAATTTTATGATTTATAAAACCAAGGATACGTGATTAGAAACCATGGAAGAGACCTATATCTGCCTATGTTCTTGTTTACTTGGTTCATAAGTATTTTTAATATCAGTATGAAAAGTACTACTGTACCGTCAACACTGCCTTGAGCACAGAAGTATAGAAGAAATGGTCCCTGACTCTAGGAAATGCACCTAAATGTATTTCTTCTCTCTTCTTTCTCATTTTCCACTGAATATAAGTATCTTCCAGATACAAAATAGAAACATTTTCCAAAAGAAAGAACATCAATGCAAAAATATATTTTAAATTAAATACCCTATAACAAACTCTAATTTATTGGCTTAGAAATGCAAATTTCTATTTTTCACATTTTTGTGGTTGGTTATACCTACTTTATCATTGTCTAAATCTAAATATCTCATCAAAATTTCATAATTATTCCAAATGATTGTCAGGCCTGGACACCTAGAATCATTACTGAATGTCAAACACACCTGATAATGATGCTAACCAAGTGTCAATGATTGGTTAGACCATTTTTTTCAAGAAAAGTCAGTAGAGGGAGAAGGTATATATTTTGTATTATCCTATCCTTTCTCTACTCAAAACTGACACCAATGTCTATGACCTGATGAAAAGACGATTTAGATAAGCATAAGGGGTAGGTAGAAAAAAAGAGGAAAACAAAATAAAACTACTCTAAGGATAACAAATTATTTGAAAAAGCACCTAGAGTTGACAAAGGTCATTGAAAATCAAGTGCAAATGCAAATAAGAATTATCACAGAAGTGCACTTGTAATCCTACCACTACCTTGATGCCAAAATTTTAGCAAAAAATATTTATTCTGATTATGATTCTAAAAAAGAAGGAAGCAGCTTTAAAATCATGATGTCTCAATAGAAATGCTATTGCCATCATAGAACATGTTATGAAAAACTGAATCAAGAGTAAAAGAATGGGGAAATTATACACTTTTAGATTCTTTCAATGTTGTACCTCAGGATGGTATAGACCATGAGAAAAATGAATCAGAGACATATATATTTAAATTAACCATCCCTGATATGGATATATATATGTGTGTGTGTGTGTGTGTGTGTATGTGTGTGTGTGTGTGTGTATATACATATATATATCTCCATCCCTATGTTTGCTAAGAATCTTAACCTAGTTCTAAATGTTAACATAATAGATTGAACTATGAGAATTCATAAACTACTTCCTTATATCCCCTTTGCATTCCTTGCATGTTCTACACACTACTTTTCTAAAATTCAATCTGAGCTATATATTTTAACAGTATCTCAGTATTCTTGTGGGTGTTATGAGGAATTCAAACAAAGTATCATATGTAATTTCTCTGATCCAAGACTGTCCAATCTTGTTGAGGAGTCAAGACTTGAGAACTACAAGGAACAAAATAAGCGAAGTGGCAGGATTTGAATAGTAGTTCAATGGGTCAAGATAGGTTGAAAATTATTTTCCATGCAAAGACAAAAATGCACATAAGCCTAAAGATAGAATTGAGAGAAAAATATCATAAGGAAGAGAAGAACTGTCTTGATTTGGGGGTGGATAGTGGGAAATACTGGTAAGTAACATTATATAATTAGAAGTAAGCCAGACACACAAGTCCACCCAAGGTATAGCAACTTGAGTGTGAAGTAAAACAGGCTAGGACTAAAGAGTCAGTAGAAGGAAAAAAGAGAAATAGATCACAAGTAGATGCATAAACTATACATCTTTAAGGTCTAGGCCAGATAACCTCTGACATTTAACAGAGACAAAAGGGGTACACATGGTAGTTAAAAGCACACTCGGAAGTAATATTGCCTGAGTCCAAATGTGAGGCTCACCACTTAATAACTGTGGTACTTAGGTAAGTTACATAATATCTTTGTGGTTTAATCATCTATAAAATTGGACTAAAGATAATAATGCCTATAAATGAGTTAATATACACAATTAAATGGATTAATATATATAAAGTGTTAAGAATGGCCCTTGGCATATAGTAAGTGCTATGCAAGTGTTGGCTATTAGTGTTTATAGAACTCACCATTCTCTTGGTTTGGGCCCAATGACTTCAAGTTTCTTATATTGCCGACTATCCTCTCTTCATTGCTTGCATTACATACCATCAAGTGTGATCCCCTGCAAAATATAATACTGTGTGTTATATACTGAGATTATTCAAACACACACACACACACACACACACACACACACACACACAATGAGAAAACAGGCAATAATTTCCAAAGACAGATGGACAGAAGTAATAATTTTTTTCTGCCAAATACTGAAAATGTAATAGCAAAGAAAAAAAATGCAACGGAGGGGAAATGCTGCTATGAAACATTAGCTTTCATATGAGGGTCCTATTACAAAGAAAGATGTAAAAAGCTTCTCAAATGGACACTTTCCCGTAAACAATGTCTTTTTGTTATTACTATGTGTCTTTTAAAGAAAGGGGATATAAATGAAACATTTTAGTCTTATTTCTGGCATGGTCAACTGTTCTATTAAATTTTGTTTTTCAATTATGGCTTATATTCAATATTATTTGTACCACTTTAAGGTGTATGGCATACTGCTTAGACAATCATATACTTTACAAAGTGTTCCCCTCAATATTGTAATATATGTAGTTATTACAATATTATTGACTATGTTCCCTACACTGTACTTTTACATCCCCATGAACTATTTTGTAATTTCCCTTCTGTATTTCTCAATCCCTTCGCCTTTTTTTTTTTTTTTTATCCTCACCCGAGGACACTTTTTCATTCTTTGTTCAGATAGAGCAGGAGGGAGAGAGAGAGAGAGAAACATCGATGTGAAAGGGACACATTGAGTGGCTGCCACCCGCACGACCAACCAGGGCCCGGGACAAACTGCAACCGAGGTACGTGCCCTTAGCGGAAACCGAACCCGGGTCTCTCCGGACCGCAGGCTGACGCTCTAACCGCGGAGCCAAACCGGCCAGGGCCCCTTTGCCTTTTTCATTGTTCCCCATCCCCATTTCCTCTGGAAATCATCAGTCTGTTCTTTGTATCTATGAGTCTATTTCTGCTTTGCTTGTTCATTTATTTTGTTCTTTAGATTCCACATGAGAGGAATTATATGGCATCTGTCTTTCCCTGACTGGCTTACTTCATTGAGCTTAATGTGGCAATGGTTAACTTCTAGCAAGTCAGGATGTGACTGACCTCACTGGAGTTTATTGGTGATAGAAGATGTTAATTGGAGACAATCCTATGAAAATTATAGCAAAGCTTTGATGAAGATGGTTTCTTTTGCCTAATCGATTTCATCTTTGTTCATGGTGTGGCATTTTAAACATGATACAAGTGTCCTGTACTATGGTTTTCAATTCCTAGGGTCAAGTGGAAAGTATTCTCTGTATCATAAAGTTGACTGTAAAAATATTAGTAATTGAATATCATACTTCAATATGCAGAATTGTTTTATATATCAGTCAGGGAAAATCTTTGAGGAGCATTTGTTGAAACTGAAAATTAAATGTGTCATTTAGATCAAATAGGTAATAGGTAAAATATATACAATACAAATAAAACTTTTATATGAGTCATATAAATTAACTACATGTTACGGTTTATCTGACAGAGAGATACTGGAACTGCTGAACTTGATTTCATTTAAAAACAATTATATGTAAATAGATACTTTTATTAAACATTTTTATAATGATGGTAAAAGAGAGTCTAAACTAAAGGGACGACTATATTTGCATTTAAAATATTAGACCTAGCCCTGGCTGGTTTGGCCTAGCGGTTGGAGCATCGGCCTGTGGACCAGAGAGTCCTAGGTTCGGTTCCCGCTAGGGGCAAGTACCAAAATAAGTAAGTAAATAAAATAAAATAAAATATCAGATCTATATTTCAGAAGACTAGTATTAAACACACCGCCACCAACATTTCTGGCACACAGACTACTTACTGTGCATCTGTGTTTCTAGTTTCTTGTTTTTCTTTGGAGTTTTGTGAGGACTCTCCAGGATCATTGCCAAGGGCTGACTCAGGATCATTTTTCAGTGTATTTATTATATCAGTGGATCTGACCGCAATATCTTGTGACTTCCCAGAAATATTTCCAGCCTCTTCTTTAGGCACCTCACTCAGTTCTTCCTTTTCATCTATCTCTTCAAGACTATAATCAGAGCTTATTCCAGCTATAAAGAAATGAAGATATAATCCTAAATGTTAATTTGCCTCATTCATGCCATATGATCTTGGCATAGAATAATTAGCTGGACTCTTAAATTCTGGTTAAAAACTAATAGTAAAATACTTCTCTAATGGTGCATAATTTTGTTAACATACAATCAGACACATATAATTCTAAAAATAATATGCTATCACTCTAGGTTTTATTCATGGTAAAAAAGGCATTATTTAAACTCAAACTTCAAGTTATATAGTATTTCATTTAGGAATACAGCTTTCAATTTCAATGATTTTTACATTCATGTAATAATTTGAAATGAAAATGAAAAGAACAACTTTTTTATATTGTCTCTAAGTGCATTTGTAAAATAACTCAGTAGTTATCACACTAACCATAATTGAGAATTATCTGGGCCCCTTTAAAAATACTTATGCTGACACTCTACTCCACACCAGTTAACTCAGAATCTTGAAAGGGTGGGACCAAGAATTTTTAAGGCTTTGCAGGTGATTCTATATGCAACCAGGATTAATAGCCACTGTTTAGATGCTTAATATAATTTAAAAAAAATAGAATTAGTATTAAACAATGAAAATTTTTATTCCCACCCAGTTTAATTCTGAGGCAAACTTTCTTTAACAGGATTTTCCTATATATTATCTTTAACAGGATTTTCCTATATATTATCAGAAAGTATAATGAGCATATATAAGCAGATATGCATACTCACATGCTTCTGTTTTTGTTGTTGTTGGTTTAATATAATTGGAAGCATATTATACATGACGTTTTTCACCTAACATGTTTTTCTTCACTTACTGTATCTTAAAGGTTTCCCCAATATCAATGTTATGTGTGTACATGTATGTGTGCTGCTTTTCAGTAGCTGTGGTGAATATTTCATCGTATAAAAATGTGTTTATCACTATTCCTTAGTACCAACAAGAAATGGCCCACAGGCCATTTAGTTTAATTTAAACTAAAAAATGAGGCTCTGGATCTTTGCTTATTTAAATATAATTCAACACTTTTACTTGCACAATAGCAGCTAAACAGAGTTTAATTTTTTCTACAAATGAGGAGGAAAAGGTGGTGACGCACTGAACTATAGTGATCAGCACATACACAAAACTTAATTAAAACCTTTACATATTTGAAGAATATGTAAAGTACTTAAAATGTATTTCTTTAATTTTAGCTTTAGGCAAACAGAAAAATGTTCTATTTGCACTCTAATAAACAAATATCAAGAATTGTATTGATATTTTTACTGCATATTAAAAAATAGATTATTCAACAGAAAAAAATATTTTAAAAACTTAAGTAAATCTTTAAATATATATCTATATATATACAAATCTTGTTTTATTATATCATGTTAAATAATCATAATGATGCCATTCTGTCTACAAGATTATGTCTATGATAGCATGCTATATCTATGTAAAATATTTTATTCAATTTTCTTTTATTTTTATTGATTTTAGAGAGAGAGAAAGTCTTGGAGAGGGAGGGAGAGATAGAAACATCAATGAGAGAGAACATCGATTGGTTGCCTCCTGCATGCCCCCCACTGGGGATCAGGCCTACAACCTGGCCATGTGCCCTGACCAGGAATTGAACCGGCCACCTCCTGGTACATGGGTTGATGCTGAACCACTGAGCCACACCGGCCGGGCTGTATTAAGAGTATGTTAATATAACTTGAAAACTGTATATTGAGAAAATGATGGCCATTTTGGTATAGAGGCAAACATGTTTTATAAATGGGTTTTCAGTGTATATTAAGCTCTTTCTGAAATTGGATTAACTGAAGTAACATTGAACAAACTACTGATTGTTCATTCCTATTTCTTTCTTGCCCATCACACGTGTCAGAAATACACCACTTTTTATTAAGTATGGTGCCCTCACTGAGAAAAAGATCTCAACTCATTAAAGTATGAAGAATGAGTTATATGTTTCAAAAATATGCTAACATTATTTTTCTGGGATTTTATAACTTAGTAGTTACAAGATTTATTTATAGGCTTGTTTAAATACATACTACTAGCCTGGAAAATATTCCTGTTATTAAATGTCATAGAAAAGGCTATGATTCCTTTTAAAAATTCTAATCCAAGGGAGCTTTCACAGTTGGTTATCTGGCTAGTACAAATTTCTCCAAGCTTTGAAAAATATTAAATCAAGTTTGTTTTGTATGGGTTAATAGACTTATATGATGGCTAAATTTTAGGACTACAGTAGAAAAAATTGGAGTGAGGAGTGTGAAAAGTGAATACTTTTCATAAACGCTATACCACAACTATAGTATTTCAGCTTCAAAGGTATAAAGAAAGAATATTCACTTTGAAAGAACAGTGTTCAAATTCTTAGTGAAGTTTTAAGATTTAACAACTTCCAAAATATAAATGCTGAAAAATTACAAGGATACAAGTTACAAGTGTAATTATTGAAATGTCTTTTACATTTAGCTTTATATAATTTGAATACTTTTTAAGTTTTTCAATCCCTCTAAAGATAACAAAATTGAAACAGAAAATCAAATAAAAAATTATTTAAAATTCACAAAATGAACATGCAAATGAAATTTAAATATTAATTTTCAGAAGATATTTTTATAAGTTTGCAGCATTTTCTTTGTAAGTTATTAAAGCTTAAAATTTCACAGAGACTTTTAGGATACCTTGTATGTTTTTCCTGGACATAATCAAAATGGGAAAATTATTTGACAAATACCCCTTTTTGATAAAATAAAATTTATTACATTAAATCCAGTCTGGTGAATTATTTTTTTTAAATAACTCATTCAAAAAAAAATGTTGACTATGTCAGACATTATTATTGTAGTTGCTACATAGGCAGGGCTGTTTTTTGTTTGTTTGTTTTCATTTTTAAATTGAGGTACAATTTACAATTCGTAAAATTCATCATTTTTGGAATTCATGTTGGAATTTCTAGTTTTGACAAAGGTATATAGTTTCATGACCACCAGCACACTCAAGATATACAACAATTTCATCAACCTCCAAAATTCCCCATGCCCCTTAGAGCCCTTAGTAATCATTATCCCCAGTTTTGCCTTTACGAGACTGATCAATCAAATCAGATAGCATCTAGCCATTTAAGTTTGGCTTCCTTCATTTAACATAATATATCTGAGATTCAGCTACATTGTTGCATGAATTAGTTCTTCGTTCTTTTTTATAGGTAGGTGGTAGTATTCCAAAGTATGGATCAACTAGTTCTTTTTATTCATTCTTCAGTTTAGGGACACTGGATTGTTTCCCATGTTTGGCAATTATGAATAAAAATTCTGTAATATTTCACATGGAAGTTTGTGTTTGCACCTAGGTTTTCATTTTTATTGAGAAAATACCTAGGAGTGGGATTGCTAGATCACACAGAAAACAAATACTTAAATTTTATTATTTTTTAAACACTTGCCAAACTATTTCCTAAACTGGGCACACAGTTTTACATTCCAATAAGCAGTGTCTGATAATATACTAATTTTAAATAACCTGTTTGAGGTGATAAGGGCTTTTTCTGAGTCACTGAAAACTTGAGCAAAATATTCATGATAACATTCAAGTATTACCTAACTATAAAATTTGATATCTGGAAATAGAATAATTCCAACAATTTAAAAATAAAAATCTCCATCAAAAACAGTACTATAGAAAATAAGCCATGCCTCCTAGGTAACAACAGAGAACTTCAAGAAAGAAAAACAATGTGTGTGTATATGTGTACATATATATATATGATTGTATATAGTTACATATGGTTATATAGTTACACACTGAAAATAATAAAGTTCAAATAGTTTGCCAAAAAAGAAGAAAGCTGAATAGATGAGAAACTGGAATTCTTCCGAGCCACGGTTTTACGCATCTTACATCTCGAGAAAGACCAGTCACCTACATGTCAGGGATGCCACGGCTGCGTCGGGAGTTCCAGGGCACTCGGACAGACAGACTTCGTCTGCCAGTTTGGACACAGCGCACTGCTCGGGACTGGGGAGCCCGGGGCCAAGTGAGGCTTCTGCCAAAGAAGTAAAATCTGTGGAAATGGCACTCAAACAACAGAGTTAAGGCAGGCAGAGACCAAGAAGTATTTCAGAAGGAACCAGATTGTTAGCTCATAATTATCCATGCACTAAACAAAAAGAGGTAAAAGGTAAAAAAAAAAGGAAGAGAAAGAGAAACAAGTATCAAGCAAAGGAACAGGAGTGACAGTTTTTTCTAATACTTCAGAATCGTCTTATTTCACTTATATAATTGGATATAATTTAATAAATTTCCTTTTGAAACAAATGGTATTGTTAATATCATTTTGGGTAAAAGTAAAAAAAAAATCATTACTACTTATCTAATGATAACATTTTTAATTACAGAGAAAAGGAGAATTTTTTGTGTAAGATGTGTCCAAATCCCAAATTCCTAAATATCACTTAAATGTAAGAGATTTAGGAGCATTTGGGCGCTTCTGATTTCTTCCTGCATTTGTGAATATGAATTCTAAAAATTAGCTAAGGTTATATTAAGCAATTTTTATACCTATCAAATTATCCTACTGGTATAACAATATTCTATTTTTAATTAGACATCATTAGCCTGTCATAATCATTTATATCTAACTTTAAATTCAGTCTAAGAATTAAGAAACTTTATCATGCTCATTCTTACAATAGCTACTAATAACTATTATTTTAAAATATTAGGCAGTATTAGATTAAATTGTTGTAGTTTAGTGGAATTTCATTTATTAGGAGGGAATCCAAAATGAGAACATATAATAGAAAATATGTCATAATAACACATTTTTACCATTAGATTCGAACCCTTTGTAAGTTAAATTCATACCTAGGACAATTACGAGAAGGATAGTACTTTATACCTTCATGTAAGTTTTCTTTTAAACACCACCAAGATGTCTCATTACCCTTCAGAAGGAGATGAATATCTGATAATCTGACATTACACAGAAATAAACAGGAGACCTGGTAGGGAAAGGACTCAAGGTACCAGAACTAAAATGTTGAGTGTGCCCGCTTCATATTCTAAACCCTGGAGGACATGCTAAAATTTGGGAAATAGAGTCAAAGCATCTGTATCCCCTTCGTATACAGAACATTATAACTACAGTCATTCCTCAACTGTCAAGAAAGATCTTTCTCCGGGATTCCATGACGTGGACAGAGGTGTCATACATACCTGGGCTGGGCAGCCCCTCAGGAGAGCTGGCTTCTGAAACACTGTCTGTGGGAACTGCGTGTACCGACTGCAGGGCTAGAACAGAGAAGCAGCACAACTGAGACACACGCCACAACGCACAAAAGAAACAGCTCTTGGGTGCTTTCACTTATTTTTATATAATTCCCAAAGAGACAGCCATTTCGCTAACCTACCTAGATTTCCATTCCTACACGTAGTCAGTCCTGGAATGGCTGGGTCCTTCCGAACAGATTTACAAACCATGGTTTTCTCACATCCGGATAACGGAGCCAGTGATTTTTTCATTTTATTTTGTCATGTTGCTGATTTTTCAAAAGGTACTTAAGTGAGCATAATTAGCGACTAAGTGCTATTATTAAAATCAATCAATGGAAAGCCTCAGTTTAAGTATCATTGTTTTATAAGCTATATCATTTCTGCTGTCTTGATGAAACAAAACACAGCACAAATGTAGTGTTAATGGGAAGAGGACCATTACCAGTCACATGGCTACTCTCATCACTTTGATGCAGTGGCATTTTGGAGGGTGGAGAAGGTGCCTTTCGCTTTGTCCTTTTCAAAGACGAATTCCCAGTGGATGTGCTACTGAGCTTCAGAGAGCCTGTCCTCGTTACGTCCACGCCACAGGAACTCTATGGAAGACAAAATGACCAAACACAATCTCTATTTGGAAATGAATAGCAAACTTTAGGAAGACCAACTTGACCTCAAACACATCACATGGCACTACGGAACATAAAAGTCATGCATTCAAAAAACGTGTGTGGTGCGTCTGCCAAGTGCCAGGAGCTGGGCTGTGAGATGAATAGGTAAAGAAAAAATAAAATATGATTCTTTTCAAGAAACTTAGGCCAGGATGGGAGACTTACATGCAAAGAAATAATTATAATGTAGGAGTCCTAAATAATACAGTTAAAAACTAATTTTCAAAGAAAAATCTGGGGGAATCATTGGACATAAAATAAGAGGTAAAAAAGGGAAGAATATCTGTACATTAAGAAAGCTGAGCCCTGGCCGGTTTGGCTCAGTGGTTGGAGTGTTGGCCTGTGGTCCAGAGAGACCCCGGTTTGATTCCCTCTAGGGGCACGTATCTCAGTTGCAGTCTGTCCCCGGCCCTCATTGGTTGTGTGGGTGGCAACCACTCAATGTGTCCCTTTCCCATTGATGCTTCTCTCTCTCTCTCTACCTCCCACTCTATCTGAACAAAAATGGAAAGATGTCCTCAGGTGAGGATTAAAAAAGAAAGAAAGAAAGAAAGAAAGCTGAGTTGATTAATCTTTCTCTTTTCAGCACTAATGTTATCAATAGCAAACATTTCAAAAACCTGTATGTCTACCCTAGGCAAGGTCATCTGAGGTCACCGACCCTATGCACGACCCTATGAGTGACGCTCACACTCATAGGAGGTGGCTGTCAGCAGACACGACGACAGTCCTGCTCACCAGGCTGGCAGAGCCGTGCCATCCTGCTCCTTTACAACAGGCCTGCTTCAAAGGATTATTCATGGTTTTTGTCTCCAATTTCTCATTTCCCACTTACACCCTTCCAATCAGATTGCCCCAACCTTTGATCCATTAAAACGATTTCTATCAAGGTCATCAATGACCTCCACGACAATTAAATCAGTGGTTACTTCTTAGAACTAATTTATCTGACCTATTAGCAGCATTCAGCAGCGTTGACTACTCTCTTAGAATCCTCCTCTTTTACCTCCTGGTTACCACAGTCCTCACTCTCACAGATCCGATCTCTGTTTTCTGTTGGTTGCTTTCCATCTCAGGTCTTGGACATGCGTATTCTCTTTAGGAACTCCTGTGTTCACTCTCTTGGTAATCTCCTCTGTCCCCCTGGTTTTATGTATTATATATATAAATATGTTGATGAATTGCACTTAGGCCTCCACCCCGGGCCTCTGTCTGATCTCTACTTAATGAGTAAAACCATTTCAAACTTGGCAGGTCTAAACTGAGATCCTGATAACTCCTGCTCTCCCCTCTCCTGTCAAAACTAATCCTGTTCTCATAGTTTTCTGTTCCCATAAAGAGCAAGTCATTCTTCCATTTGTTCAGGCCAGTGACTCTGGGGGTCACTGTCGTGTCCTTTCTCACGCGTCACATTAAGAACATCCTCCTGGCTCATCCAGCTCCACGGCTACCATGGAGCCCAAATCATCGTCAAGGACTTGCTGACTGGACTCTGTGTTCTCATCGCTTCCTCACAGTTCCTTCTCAACATAAAAGGATCCTGTTAACATGGAAGTCAGATTAGGTCACTTTGCTCAAAACCTGCCAATGGTCTCCCAGCTGGCAGAGAACAGCCCAAGTCCTTGCAATGACTCCTAAGGCAATGGACAGCCTGGCCCCTGGCTTCCTCGCCACCTCGTCCCAGGATGAAGCCTTACCGCACCGGCCCCCACGCAGCGCCTCCGTGGTGCCAGGGGTCTCCTGCCCCGGGAGGGTTGCCCTGCTGCTCTCTGCACCTGCAATTCTCTCCAACAACTTAATGTCTCACTCCCTCCTCTTCCTCAGGCCATGTTTCAAATGCCACCTTTTCAATGAGTCCCTCATCGAACCCCAACACTTCCTGTCCCTCTTCTCAGCTGGATCTTTATGAACAGCATTTACTATTCTCTAACAGACCGTATACTTGGCTTCTTTTCCTTGTTTATTGTCTGCTTCCACTGGGGTTGACGAGGAGGGCCGGGGTTTCCCCCTCCTATTTCGCTCACTGCTCTATCTCCAGAACAATGTCTGGCTCATAGAAGTTTCTCAAAATATATTTGTTGAATGAATGCCACGATGAATGAATACTGCCTTCTTCATTTGTAAATAAAAGGACCTGATCAACTTAGACTAGCAGAGGACCCGAGGCTTGGGTCATTTCAATATTTATGAGACAAGGCAAGTATACCTCCAGGAACCAAACTAGTTCACAGGATTTTCTCAGTCTTTGCGCCTTGCTACACACCAAGAAAAATGTAGCCAACATCGCTATTTTGTAATTTTGTAATATTTCTGCTGGAGAGTAAAGGAAGCCTGACCCCCAAAGAGAAAAATGCGAGTTAGTTGTCATCATTGCCAACTGTGTTAGGTCATCTCACAGGAGAAGCAGCAGAGCAAACCACAACTCTCAGTAAAGGCAACTCCTCTTAACAAAGGAGGAAGACCAGGGGGGCTCCGGCTGACCTTATGTGAAGTCTAACCATTAAACTTCGTCCACACCAACAGGCAAAGAGCTGCAGCCACCAACCTCCTCTCCCCTCATTACTCCTGTCCCACCTCCAGAGCGCTTCAGACCTCTCCATAATAAAGCAAGAACAGAGTTCAAGCCTGCCACCCAAACCCAGATTTTGATTCAGAGTCACAACAGCTAATTCCAACTGAATCTGAGGGTCACCTCCACCCACAGTGGGCCTGGGGGGGGGACCTCAATTACTGCTTTGGCTTTTAAAATAATTAGGAGAAGGACCCTCGGCAATACATTAGCTGAGAAAGAAATGTAGTAATGAATGGACATTATTTAAATATCATTTTGAGTAGAATATAAAGTTTAAATAAAAACCTTCTTAATGATATGTCCCTGTGTTCTGAAACTTTCACCTGCTATTTATAAAAGTAACAAATTTAGCAATCATTAGAGAAAAGACCAAAAATACTCCTAAAACAATGTGGCACTTTACTTTTTAAAATCTAATCTAAACATCAAAAGCAATAGATGTCATTTTCTTTCTTGATGCATTTGCTTATGTAAAACCCTATTAAATCATGCCTCATTCCTATCACAGAAGTGTCTCAGTAAGAACAGAGTAGGTGACCAATAAATAATTGTATGAAGTAATGGCAGAATTTGATTTTCTTCCTAATTCTATGCTGAAAACCTGTTTCCCCCTTTAGGTCAGATTTCCAATCACTGCCATTTATTGTTCTTTTCTATTACCTGAGCAAAGCACTCACAACACGAATTTCCCAGATAATAGTATCTGTTCAGGAATTAGAGTTTCCAAATTTTGGTTATGATATAAAAAAAAGCAGACAGCATAGAAATAAAAAAGATACATTTTTGTATACAAAGACTCACAAGGTTATATAAATCTATCCACAACTCAAAGACAGAATAAAATAGGCTCATATATTTCATTTATCACCCTAGAGGTTTTCAAGTAAGCTAACTTGTTGTACAGGATATGTATATTTCTGTGGATTTTATAACTTGATTCCGTGAGATTGATTCCCTTTCCCGCGGTGCGTGTGTATCACGGAAGTCAATGGGCATGTGTTTCTAGAGCTGCAAATGGATCCAGGAGACTGAGAGCAAAGACACTGGGGGAAGAGAACATGCGTGTCTGAGTGATGCCAGGCAGACTCTCACTGTAGAGCCCATGCTGTAATTAATGCTCACAACTTCTAAGCTTATGACAAAAACGTAAATGTAACAATTGGGCCCAAGGCAGGGTTTTCAAGGAATCAGAGTGGCGAGTTTAGATAATCAGAGAAATAATTAGTGACAGGAATATTGCTTTTGTTCTCAGATAGGAGTGATATCAGTGTTAGCATTCAAGGAAATAGCTTAATATAGAGTATGTCTCATTGTCCCCTAAGACAGAGAGGCAACCATTGTGTTTGGTTAACGAGACTGTTAGAAAATAATTTCAATCCGCAAAGCCGCAGCCAAGGAAAGTTAAGGTAATCGAAATCAAAGGTGGAGTTATTTTGTGTTAACTCAAAAATGTCACTAAAAAGTGGACGAATCCCTGGGCCTTGAGAAGGGGATGTTCTATATCTGTGGCAAACATATCTTTCTTGGGAAAAAGCCTGAAGGAAAAGAAAGAAAATCTCAGAAGATCTAAAAGTTTCTAAATCCATTGTAGGCAAGAAAATGTCTGTGTACTGAGGGCTACGCGAATACACTTGTCTAGCATACAACATTGGAGAGGGTCCTAACCCAAGAACAACTACTGTTAGAAAGCAAACGTGCTAAACTACCACAGTTACTTCAATGAATACATCATGAGTTCTTATATAAAATGTTAAAAGCAGAAAGAGAAAAGGCAAGGAAGGCCACCAATGCCTAACCGGCAGCATTCTTTAAAAAAAAATTTTTTTTCCTTAATTGGTTTTAGAGAGGAAGGGAAAGGGAGAGAGAGACAGAAACATCGATGAGAAAGAACACTGACTACCTCCTTCATGTCTCCCACTGGGGATCAGGCCCACAACCTGGGCATGTGCCCTGCGTGGGTCGATGCTCAACCACTGATCCATACCAGCCAGGCACCAGCAGCATTCTTAAATCCCCTTTTTTTTCTGTATACTTTAGAAGTACACGCCTAATAGTCTCCAAACAGTTCCACCCTTGCAATACTGAGGGTTGACCTGCCCAGTAAATCCGAGCGTGCATCTGTCTAACTGGAGAGGCTTCCAGAGGGTTTGCAAGTTGGAAGGCAGCCCAGGGTAATCGTTACCAAACAAATGAGCTTTGGAGACAATGCCCGGGAGGGCGCGCGGCATTCGCTGTGGCTGAAACCTTCAGCCTCCTCACCTAAGGCAGAAAAGTAAGAGTGCCTACCTCCAAGGGGAGGGAAGTTTCAGTGAAATAGCACAGGGCCTAGTATACAGTAGCAATCCACAAATATTAC